AAACAAAAAAACAAAAAACAAAAAAAAAAAAAAAACCTGAAAATGTTACTCAGAAGAATCAGTACTATAGATCATTTCTACTAAAGTTTTACAACTAGTAGAACACTTAGAAAGACCAATTTCTAATAATTTCAGTAAGAAAAATGCACAAATCTGAATAGTCAGATTAATTTCATACATACTTTTCATTATTTTATCTTCCATATACACGATAAAGCTTTTTACACTTAACTAGTTAAATGGTGTTTAGAGAAGGTTGTGACTTAGTCTCTGTTTCAGGACTTAACCAGGTTTCACTCAGCTGTTTGAAAGGGATGAGGATTTACTCTTGTGTTTTTACACCTTTTCTAGGGTCCTTTAGTTGCTGCTTTCACAAGTTATGTTCTTGACATTAAAATACTTCTCCTTCACACATTCCAAGTTAGATGCTTGCCTGTGGCATTTGGCACGCAAGCAGAGCCCAGGGAATAGTTACATATTGGCAAATGTAGTCGGTGTGGACATGGCTTTGCCAGCTGAAGAAGCCGGGGCAGAGGGCCTGCAATTTGACAAGATTTTCTTTAAAGAAAACACTTTTCAAAATAGATCAAGACTGTAAATGTGAAGTGCCTTCTCCTTGGCTGGGTGTTTCAGGAGAAGTGCTCAACACTGGGTGAGAATTGGGGAGCAGCATTACAATATGCTCTCACTGTCCTTCCCTATTTGGAGTGGTGCGTGCTCAGCTGCTGCTTGGCTTGTAATTCTCTTTTCCCCCCACTGCCTTTTTTCTTCCTCCTCCTTCCTTTTTTCACCTTTGTTTCAGCTCTTCATCGTAATCTTGCAGTCCTCTTCCTCCACTAGTGTTTTGCCTTTCAACTCAAAAGTTGCATGCATCTTCTTGGGCTGTATTTGCATTAGACTTGATGTAGAACATCACAGGACACATTGTTTTTATGCAAAACATATTAATTGCAAATGGAAGTTCACTGACCAGATGAAGAATAAAGATGTGACTATATTAAAATTAGGAAGTTGGGAAAAGATGAAGGGTTGTATTTTTCTTGCTTTCATCCTAAAATTTTTTTTCTTGTTTATCTTTAAAACTGTGACATTTCAGAGCAGGATTTGTTCGGTTTAATTTTTAATTTAATTTTAATTTGATTTTTTTCATTGCATTGTTTTGTGTTAAGTTAAAATCGTTACACTGCTGCCTGCTATGTGAAAGCAGAGAAAGATTTAAACCAAGGCAGCTCAGATACAGTTGTGGTTAACTGGATGGTTCAGTTCGTGATGTTACTGCTTCCAGGTGTACAGTTACCTTATCAGCTATGGATAAAACAGGTCCAAAATGTCAGTATTTTGGAGGGTTTCCACTTACTTGGAATTTAAAGGCATATACATTAACAAATATGAGCTGTTAAGAAGGATAAAAAAGGGAGTTTGGCAGGTTACATTTATTTTAAATCTCAGTGTAAACTTTTCTGTTTGATTACTAGAAACTACCCAGATGCTGTTGTAAACAATCAAATATAAGTGCCAGTTCTGGTCTGTCTGGAGACTGGTGCTCTGGTTCTGACAAATGATGAAATTATGGTTTTGGGAGTTGTGGGTTTGTTTGCCTTGGGTTGGTTTTTTGTTTGGTTGGTTGGGGTTTTTTTGTAACTGTGATCTTTAAATAAATAGAGATCACTTCATATTACTGTGGTTATTTTGTTTCTTTTCCAGCTTATTTGATATTCTAAGGTGACTGAATCTTTTGTTATTCAGACTTACTAGGCAATATGTGAACTAAAGCACTAGGCATGTTTTGGGTTCTCATTAAATGTTTTTAGTTATTTCACTAGCGTGACTATATTGATGAAAAGGTGTTATGATTGCATCATCTTACTCTTTGGCAGAGATCAGCTGAAGCAGGTTCAGGTTCTTTGCTTCCGGTGTTTGAAGAAAGCCAAAAACTGATAGCAGACCAGAATGCCTTGCCTTTGCTTTTCTGTCTTAACAGTTTCTGCCCAAATGCTTGCTGAAATCTAATATAAGACACTGAAAGACTCGTTCTCTTATTTCAGTTTTTGACATAAATGTGAAGGTTGTTCATACATGACTGAAAGTCCAATATCAGCCTTCCCTTTGTCTTCATCAGGGCTGCAAACCTCCTTAAGCTGGTTTCTGATTTTGTTTTTAATGTATGGCATGGCAGTCTCTTCCTCAGAATCCCACTCTGTTCTGTTTACAGAAGCAGTAGCAGTTGTTTCTCTCTAGCCTTTCCTCAAACGTAGCTGTGTTGTAAACTGGAGTTTTCACAAGTCCTTGTAGCAACAAAAATTTCTCTGAGAGAATTCCTGAGCAAAATACTCATGATGCTCAAAAGGAGTGTTTTTATTTTCTTGATTGTGTGGGCACAGGATTTTCTGAAAACCATAGATTAATTGCTTTTGTCAGGGATGATTCCAAATGGTTCCATTTGTAGGTCTTAACCATGCAGGTGGTAAGTGACAACTCTCCTGCACTGTATCCCCCTAGGTAGGAAACACTGTGTGCAGCATTTTCAGTGTTTCAGGTTTCCTTAAAATTTTCCTGTACCCCTAAATTTCATTCAAGGGAGATGCGGGGTCAGTGAACTAGGGGAATCTAGTTGGGGAGGCTGGGGAGTCAGGACTTCAGGTGTACTTCAGTAGTGGAGTACAGAATCTTCTTGGAGTAGCTGGAGTGTGTGCCCTGGAACCAGGACTGGGCGATGTGCCCCAGAGCACCACTCAAAACACTTCCCTGTAGATCTGCAGCTTCTGGTTCCGACTGTGGAAAGAGCCTGATTACTTACGGATAGTTCCTGTTGAGGAGGTTGCTACCAGGATTGTTTAGTAGAAAACCTTGAATAGTTTGGCTCACTATAAGAAGGTCTTTCTACCTGACAAGTGCATGTATGAGACCTTGTTGACTGATTGGATTTATCATTTAATAGTTACCTGTTTAACTCAAGATTTTGTCCATCCAGACTCACCAAAATAAAAAATGCATACAGTGACACTTGCTGACTTGGAAATTCAAAGAACTTTCTTGGCTGGTACAGTTAAGTAGGGATTCAAAACAGTTCCTCTCATACAGAGTATTTTTGTAAGGATCTAGATGTACTTGCAGAAGAAGAATTGAAAGGAAATTACTTCAGACTAATGTGTTTTAAAGTGAGGAGAAATTAATAGCTTAGGGTTAGTTTTTTCTTTCTCCAGTTCCTTATAAATCTCCCCCTCCATTTTTTCAATCTGCTTTCTCCTGGCAGAGAGTGCCATAGTTCAAAATACACATAGTTTACTGGGAAGATTATCAAGTTGGAATGAAATTCCTCTTGACTTTATGCAAATCAAGTAATCATTGATTATTTTATTAATATATGAATTCCATGCTTAATAAATCAGAAAGATGTTTCTCTATGTATAGCAAAAATTATTTTATTAATATATGAATTCCATGCTTATCAGAAAGATGTTTCTCTATGTATAGCAAAGATAGAGTCCCTATAGAGGTCTCTTCTATTGCTTGTGAACATAAGTAGTTAGGTATTTTTTACTCAGGTTGTGTATCATGTAAATTATTAGCATAATTTCATCAGTGGCAGCATCAGAACTTAAGAAGAAATTGAGTTGTAATAATGCATAATGAAGAAATCAGTCATGTCAGGCACTCCAGATTCAGTGACCAATAATTTGGACACAGCTTTTGTTTGCATTTAGTAATCATGTGATACCTCTTTTCCCTCTTCTCAAAGCCTTGTCTGTGTGAGAATTGTCTTTAGAACCTCCTTAAAGGCTTAGTTTTATTCAAATGAAAGGTCATAGAAACAGATAATCTCAGTGCTTAGGCGTTTTGTATCTGTCTCCAGTAGACTGCACTGAAAAATGTGTAATCTTCCTAGGACTGATCACATTGGCATTTGTACAGGCCATGTGGGACTGATAACTCTTAATGCTTTTTTCCATGATAAGTGTTCAGAGATTTTGATAATTATGTTAGTTTCCTAACCCTTTGTCTGTCCTAAGGAACCTGGTTTAGTCTAATCCATAAATCAGTTCATAAATCATAGTCAGCAGTTCAGTCCAACAATAAATGATAATCTCTCCTACAAAACCTCTAACTTTTGCAGCAAGTTTAAGCAACTAGAAATTGCCATAATTCAAGATTTTTTTCAAAAAAGTGTATTTAAAAACATAAAAATATATAGGACCTCCCCCAGTATTTTTTCCATGACCTAAAGTACAATGTTGGCAATCCCTCCATCTGAACAGCCAAGGGACAGCAGTTGATCCAGAAGATAAATCTTGCTTGATGGTCCTTTAGGCTTTTTTGTAACATTTACCCTTCACACTAGCTTAAAAGATCCCTTTCTCCTCTGTAAAGAGGTGGTTACAGATGGCTTCATATGTAGAATAATAGAATGCTAAAATTTGTGATAATGGATAAAAATACAGTAATGAAATTACTTTAAAAAGCTGGATACAATTGGAGTTTCCTGTGGCTTTTGATTGCACATTTTATAAGCATTACAGGTTCCAGTGTACCTTTCCCTTTTTCTTACTGTGAAGTCAGTTTCTTGATAGGCACATAGGCTGAGCTGTCTCAAGGTAAGTAATATATTGGCCTGGTTCTGTCAAAAGGTTATGCTACTATAGAGGAAAGCACAGATGACAACCAGATTAAAATAAGAGTCATAATTAAAAGATACTCTGTAACACCAAATTGTTATTTATTTACCTGTAAAATAACAATATGCTACTGGTCATCAGGTTTTTTTTACTCCTTACAAAGCTAAACATACTTTAATATTTGATACTGCAATACAGTCGTTATTGCCTGTTTTTCAAGTCCTGAGAAATTTGTCTGGAATTTCCTCCTCCTGCTCATTTCATCAGATCCTTTCTAATAAGTGCATCATTTCTGAGACCTCTCCTTCTCAGTGTTCAGTTTGTATCCCTTTTCCACCTGTGTTCCCTGGATTTGCTTTTGCAAAATGAAGGAGTTTTGTCTTTCAGAACGGGAAGGTCACAGGAAGCGAATCAGGAGGGGTCATTGATCTTACACTGGATGAAGAGGATGATGGTTCTTCTCAAGGTAGGTGAAAAAGATTTTGCTAGCTGCAGAGGTAATTGAGCTACAAGTATTATTTCATCCCTTGAATAACAGAAAGGAATAAACTTCTGTTTCTCTTTGTTTATTTTCTTCCTTGGTATTTCAGTTAAACAGGACTGTTATTAAAGAATTCTGATAGGCATTCAAGAAAAAGAATTCAGGTTGAGATTGAGGGAAAAATAAGTAACAGTAGAAAGGTAGTGCAGCACGGAAGGATGGTAGAAACTCCACTCTTGAATGTTCTTAAGATTCAGCTGGGCAAAACCGCAAAATCTTTTGATTTAGTGTTGGTGACAGTCCAGCTTCAACAAGAGGTCGGACTGCACAGCCATCAGAAGTCCTTTCCAGCGAGGATTTTGATTCTGTGAATTGCTTAGCTGAGTGTCAGAATAGCATATGGAATCAAGTTTTTACCACTGTCATCTGTTCTGAGGGTTATTTCTCAAAAAGATTTTAAAAAATGGTTGCAGGACACTGTCAGGTAAGGTTAAGCTACCCAGTCCTATTTAATATTCTGTAAAAGATACCAAGAGATCTAAATAGATTTATGGTATGTTTTAAAGTAGCATGTCACAGTATTGTAATGTATTTCAGCTAATCTTTTCCTATCAAAAGTAACATTTTTCAGAGTTTTTTTCCTCCCTGATTGCATGAAGTATGTCTTTACCTCACAATTACCATAAAAGATGAGCACCATGGTTGTGTGTGCAACTGTAAGTTCTCTAAGTAGAAGTGCTAGCAGCAGTGGCGGAGTTGTAGCTGCATTACAATATAGTAACTTAATTCTTTCTCAGTTTCTTTTTTGAGGATTGAGCCAGTATCTTACAATTTTCTCCTGTGGCATATTCTGAAATTCTTTTCCCTTATTTGTCAGGTTTTAGAAAATTGTCCTTTTATTGGGAGGAAGGTTATTGGGGTACATTCAGGCTGGGTTTGCTCCTATATGTCTCTTCACTGCAAAGCAGAAACCAGACTTTCAGCGATACTCTGCAGTCTTGTGGATTAGTTTATTTTTATAGTTTGTGTGAAGAGTCAATATTTTTCATATAAGCTGTAGAAATGTATGGACTAAAACCCTAATAAAAGCTTCAGTTTCACCATACAGTGAAAACACATCTCTAGGATTTTGAGCAAGTGTTCTGATAATAACGTTCAGGTTAAAAAGAGGAAGAGTACACTTCTGACAGCTTTTGCATAATCATGTATGTATACTTCTGGCCAAATATTTTTTCTACTGCACTTCATTTACAGCAGATGTGGAGCAGGTTTTATTTTGTTCTAGATATATTGGTACACCACCTCAGGATAGAAAGTACTTGTTCATCTAATCTGCTCTCCATGCCTTCCTTTTTCCAATAAAGTTTCCATTTGGATCAAAAATTAATATCTGTAATACTGTATACCAGAGTATGCAAATAAGGTAAAATAGACTTAAACTTTAGGTTAAGAACTATAGAATTTTTAGGTGTTTTGTTTTGTGAGGTTATTAAACTGAAATCAGAGTTTCTGTATGGGGTCATAGAAGACCCAACTCATGTATAGACTCGTCAAGCCCAGTCTTCAGTCATGGTAGACAGACAAAACCCTGTACATTATTTTTAAGGGCTAATAATGTTTTCAGGGTGGAGGATTTTTGTTTGGTTGGTTTTGGGGGGTTTTTTTAGTGTCATAGTGACTAGGATCTCTAATCATGTGCTTGGGCCACTGGGTTTAGACGTCATACTCATACAAAACAGAGTAGCTGTCCTTCAACAGCTGTTGATTTGGCATTTTGAAACCCCACTCTGTTAACACAGAAAATGTGTGTCTCTAACTTGTAACCCCTTTTTTACATACAGCAGTTTGCACTCAAATAGTACTTCATGTACAAGGAAAAAAAAAAGTTTTACCATCACACTGTGGAAACATTTATCTGATACAGCCTAGATTTGCATTTCCTCTCTTCTTTACTTTATCAGACAAGCAATGGACAGACATTCCATAAGTAACAACATATGCAAGGTGATCATCTTCACTGCTCTGTATATGTTTTCCCACATTAATAGTAGGAGTTCTTAGAATTACTAAATGGCTGCTGTTGTACTCTCTACTATCATCATCTTTTTGTTCTAACTCTCAAGTCTCAGCTTTGTTCTTGTGTGGTATTTTTGTCCACCTCCATACCGGTGGCATCTTCCAGTTTGGTACACTGGCAACTAAATTTAGTGCACACCTTCTGATGTGTGCAAAAATTATTAATGAAAATGTTGCGTAACATTTGAGACAGTGTTGTTAATTCCTGTTCAGAACAATTCTCGTCATCCTTTTGTCAGAGTAATCTAGATACTTTTCTGTGTGCAAGTATCTTGCAATACTTGTACAGTCCCCTTGCTATCCTTTTTATTAAATATTTGTGTAGTACACTGTATCAAATGACTTCATAAAAATACTAAAAGAGCTAATAAATTTAGCTGATACCTATACCTAGTCTAAAGTGGATTTGTAATGTAAGAAAGATGCACAAGTATAATCTCAAAAACAGCCATGTTCCACTTTTTTTTGCATTTATCTTTTTGTAGGAAGAATTACCACATACAGTATCATTTTTTTTTTATTTTATAAGCTGTTTTATCTGATTAACAAATCTGTAGTTTTCTGGGTAATTGTTTGTCTTATTCTTGAGCATGTGAATAGTATGTTTGCTGTTCTGTAATCCCATTATACCACTTCTGAATTAGTATGCTGATTAAAACTCCTTCCTGCTATATAACTGCAGTGTTGTAGGCCCATTTTCTGGCATGGAAATTAGCTCCTCTTCTTTTCAATTTCATGTATTAGATTTGGAGTTTTGCTTACACCTCCAGTAGTGATGATTTCTATTTTGTGCTCATTTCCATAAATCAGATTGTCCTGTCTCCTCCAGTTCCACATTTTTAGTGAATATGATGCTGTTTTCATTTAGCATTGGAACTGATCCTGTACTTTAAACCTTAGTCCTGTCCTTAGTATGTACCTGGTCTTCCTGTTTTCCTTGCCCATTTTTTATTTACATAGCTAAATTAACCTTTGCTATTTGTTTCCATTTATTCAGTGAAGTCTAGTTGGTTATCTGTCATCATTTCCTGTAGCTGGTGCAATCCTGACCTAGTTTCCAGCAACTGGAATATCCACCCAGCTCTTGACTTGTCAGGGACAGATGAACTTGCTTCTGTGTGAGATTAAAAACAAAAGCAAATCCAAAAAAGCCCTCACATTTGTCCAGTCTGTCATTTTTACTTGAACTACATTTTTATAGCAGCAGTAGTGTGTCTGGGTTTTTACTAGTTGGCTCATGAGCACATCTTCTCAAGGTCGTGTCTAAGAATGTACTCACATAGCTTAAATTATCCAGTAGCAGTTAAGATGTGCATCAGTCTGTAAATATTCAAACTAAACAGATGTATGCATCTCTGTAGGAATCTCTTCAGAGTCAAATAATTTGTTGAACACTGGGAAATCTCTCATAGCCATTGAAAATAAAAGAAGCTTGAACTAATCACAAGACTTGTTAGTTGATGAAAGAGCAGGAAATGTCTCACCTTTGGTTTTCAAAATGAGCATCCCTCTCCTGTTCCTTTTATAGACTTTGAAAAAAGAAAGACAGGAAAATTATACTTTCATCAAATGGCTTCAGTGAAGTAGTTCAGCTGTTCAGTCTACAGGAAGCATATGGTCTGCAACTTATCTTGTATTTTACTGTTGAGGTCTTTAATTGTATTTAATTTATCATGTAGCAGTTTGTGAAGAGTACAGCTACTTCAGCTATTAGTAGGTGGTTTTAAAGACAGCTCAGTGAGACCATCAAAATAGTCTCCCAACTGCTAAAAAACCCAACATTTTGAGCTACACTGCTGCTAACCCTGTTCTTAATGGTTTGAAATCTAGTTAGTGTACTTAATTGATAGTTCCTAAATGTGTTCTTCAATATATTGTTGATATGTTTTCTCAAGAATAAAATATGTATTAACGTATTTTTTATTTTTATATTGTGCACTCTTTTAGTAAATTAGTGGCTACTGCATGTACAATTTTATTAGCACAAATCTTTTCTGAATGAGTGCCCTTAAAACCTACTCTTATATTTTGTGTTTTTTAGTTTTTGATGGTGCCTTCTCTGCCCACTACTACTTTAATCTAGCTGAAATATCCAGGCAAAAGGTTCTCAATTCTTCTTTATTCAACTTGTGCACAAGGTTGATTACATACAGACTTGCACTCAAATTAATATTTTATGTTGTCACAAATAAACTAAAGGAGAAAAAATGCTGTAGAAAACTACAGATACAGACACTATTATCACTTCCCACAAGTTTGTAAGTCATGCTGAGGAGAGTGTCAATGTGAGAAAACAACTAATTATCTTTTTAAAGTTTTCTATAAATAATAAAGCGATTCCCCTTTTTTAAGAAAGTAGCATGAAAATTTAAAACAGCAGCAAGCAGGGCTGACTAACAGATAGAACAGAGGAAAGAGTCAGCAAATAACAAAAGATGTAAGCATCAAAGGTAGACAAGATTTATTTAGGGAACTCACCACTTTTTGGAAACAATTTGAGTACAACACTGTTTAGGCCTTTTAAAGTTTTAGGCTATTATTTTTTTAATAGAAACTTTTAAAGATTGTCATAGTGTTCCATTAAATTCAGGTTTCCAAATTATGCTGAAATATGCAGACTTCATGATGATAGAATGAAACATGATGGAGTGGGGCTGGGAGAGGGACATTGAGGTGATGAAAGTGAGTGGAATTAAATGAATTTTCTGCAGTTTTGTTTGCAGAATGAAAAGATCAAAGAAGTGTCTTGCTAGGAAATATTATTTGCTAATGTGTGAATGACAGGAGGGGAAAAAAAGATTTTAAAACTCTATGATGTTCTAATTTCTGTTTGCTATTGTCTATAACTTTATTTTGTTTTAAAGCAGATGGCAAGAAGCAGAACCAGACACCTGTTACGGGGGTGAGCATATCCACCCAGCCTGTGGCTCGACCCTTGCAGCCTTTGCAGCCTAACCCTGTGCAGCAGACAGGCGTGCCAACAAGTGGACCTTCCCAGACCACCATACATGTATTACCTACAGGTAACTTCATTTTACGTCATTATGTGAATGCAGAGACTGCCTTTTTTTTCTTTCAGACTCTTGTATGTTCTATGTTGTGCTGGTCTCTTCAAGTGAATACTCAGAGTGCTTGAGTCACTTTTTAGTCTTCCACGCTAGTCAGTTTCCCATAACTTTTTTTAAAAATTGATGAAGTGAAAAGGAGAGATAGTCCAGTTGGTTTGGACAGAATTCAGGATCAAATTAATTCCATGGTGAGCAAGAAATCCTGCAAAGGATGATCATGGAAATTATTCAATACACTGTTATTTGTAAAAGTGAAGGAGAAGAAACCTTAGCAGTTGCATTATTTAAGTAATGGAGGAAAAAAAGCGTTAGCAACATCGCTTCTGGCTCTACCTGCACTTGCCAGTTAATCCTTTTGCCAGAGTGAATGACAAGGCTGACATCGAAGTTTCATCCCTAGTTAAATGTTTGTTTGCAGTATCTTTTTTTTTCCTTTTCTTTCCAATGTAAAGAAACATAGATCCTCTTTTTTTTCTTTATTTTACTCTCTTCTGTGGATGATTGTTGAAGATTAGTTGGCGTTGGAATTGTCTTATGACTGATTTGTTCTACCGACTCTTTGGTGGTGGGTTCTATACTTTCAACAGCTGTGCGTTCACGACCTTTTTCTTTCCTTTTTTTTGGGGAGGGGGGAGGGTATCTATCTTTTCTGTTTGGAATTTGTTAATATTAGCATTATTATTTCAGGTGAAAATTACTGTTTGTTTGGGCTGTTTTCTCTTTTCTTGCATTATCAAAAGCAGATAGAATTTCACAGAGACAGTTGTTATTTCGCGTGGCTCAGATGAGTCAGTTTTCCGAAGGAGGTGTGTTTTCTGGAACAGGCATATCAGCTTCATGTCGTGGAGTTCCATTCTAGGTTGTGGTCTCTCTGTCTTTTTCCAGCTCCGACAACAGTGAATGTAACTCATCGGCCAGTGTCTCAAACTGCTGCAAAACTTCCTATACCAAGAACCCCTACTAACCATCAGGTGGTCTATACCACTCTTCCTGCACCACCAGTTCAGAATCCTGTCAGGGGAGCTGTCATGCCAAGCCCAGGTTTAAGGCCAGTCAACCCACAGACTGGAGGTAGGGGATGTTTTCTTACATGCACGTTTTGGCACGACACAGCTTGATCTGTTTTACCTGATGCGTGTAGTGTTTGTGGTTTTGGTTTGGTTTTGTTGCTTGGGTTGTTGGTTTGGGTTTTTTGGGTTTGGTTTTTTGGGTTTTTTTTTTAACAATACTAATTCTAATTACAGAGGCTAGGGGTTTTTTTCCAGCTTATAGACTTGAGAAAATCTCAGGCTATTAAGAAATCA